TACGCGCAAAAATGCAGTACACAATATCGTAAATATCGAGGAAAAATCGCACTTTGTTTAGTCGCGCGCGCGCGCGAGCTTGTAATAAATACATATACTCACATTGTATGTGTGTGTGAGAGAGAGAGAGAAAAATACCGACACATAGGTGCAAGTATCCCGTGTGCATATGTATTCATGAAACGTAAACGAGGGAGCAGCTTGACTCGCGTTGCGTGTAAGCGCAGTAGTAATACATAATTAGATCGAGCAGTAGCAGCAGCAGCAAAGCAGCAATTGGATTAAGAAACGCTTTCGTACGCGCGTGGCTCTCTTGGATTCGGGTTATAGCCTCTTTCTCGGCTTCGCGCGCACAGATACATACACACACACCTTTGGCTTAATGTAACTTGTATATATACCGTAGGTATATATTTATGTATATATCGTGCCTACCTCTTTAAGCGCGGAGGGTGCTCATGTTGCGTTTGTTAATTGCATACGAGCTTTAATTCGTAGAAACTCCGCAAAAGAGCTAGGCAAGAGAGAGAGACAACTTCCTAATTTTCACGTGGAAATTCAAATGTTGCTTAAGACAGAGACGGAGCTCCTGCACTAGTAGTGCAGTTGACGAGGCTCGCGCACGAGCGTTTGATCATTTCTTGCACGCGGACGCCGGGGACCTATATAATTTTTTTCTTCTCTTTCTTTCTCGCTTTGCCGCGCTGCGCTCACGTTTTTTTTTACCATTTTTTTACTCATTCTCGTCGTACATTAGGAAATATTTTCGTGGGAAATTCGCCTCTCATTTTCTTACGTACTTTTTTTTATTTATGATTTCTTAATAATCCAACTGTTTTTTTATATATTACCCCGTTGTAATAATCCTGGACTTTTTGTCGCGCTGAATTGTTTCGTCAGCGCAGCGCAACGCATGTGTACATATAAAGCCTTTAATGTCGCGTGCGTTGTTGTTGTTTTTTGCGCTCTATCCGTTGCCTAGTACGATTGATGGGACACTCCCTTTTTTAGTAAACTGTTAAATCTCGCGTAATGATTTATAGGTTCTAAATTCAATTACGCGAAAGCCTATTATATGATCGGGTAAAAGAGATGCATTTAACAGGAGCGTATGTATAAAACACTGACCTACTATAATCGTCGTCGCCATCGCACGGCGGCCCGCTCGCGCAGAGTGAAAGTCTTATGTTAATCGAAGTATCGTAAAATTTTCACGAGCTCATACCCAGTGGTCCCTATAAATACCATTTTTTTCCTCCTCTTCTTCCCGTTCGTTGTACTCTCTCACCTCCTGGATATATAATAAATGGAATTTTCTCGAGATAAGGTTCTCTCTTTTTTCTTTCTCCTTTTTTTTTCTCCCCCAAAGCTATCAGCTACAGATGCTAAAGTTCGCGCGAGCGGCGCAGAACTCGTACTCGAGTACTCAATCGAATTTCATCTCGTGCATTAGCCGCAGCTGCCAAAGAGAGGAGAGAGAGAGAGAGATTGAAAGAAAGAAAGAGAGAGGTAGAGTTGCGCAACAGTTCCGCGCTGTCGATTACACACTTTGTAATTAAGAGGCTTATCGAATTTTCATCCGTCTGTGTGTGTGCTGTGCCGTGCTGCATGAACGTTTCCTCGAGAGGTCTTGTTATTTATAAAAGTGAAAAACGCCGCTATATAAACGGTTTATTAGCACACGGTATATATCTATACATCTAAAACGTTATTTGTCGCTCTGTGCTCGCGCGCTTTGCCGCGTTTGCGCGATTGCTCAAGACTTTAATTAATCGAAAAGAGCCCCATGCACGCTCGCGCAGCAGCAGCAGCAGCAGCAGACTCGTAATTTCCATTTAGACGATTTATGCGTTTATAATTTCGTCGAATTATAATATATTCGCGTAACGCATGGTCGCCGCGCGGCGCCAATGGAGAAATTATTGACTCGTGCTTGAAAATATATACGCGTGCCGCAGAAGCACAGGGGGGACTTTTTATCGAATCAAGCACAGGCCTCCTTTTTGCGAGATATACATAAAGAGCTGCATTTACGCACGCGGTACGTACTTTACGGTATACATACGCGTGTAATATAAAGGATAGCCGCGATCGCGTCCCCTTAACGTCACGATTTTCGTTTAATGCTGTGTGACTTCTATATGCGCTCGCGTACGCGCGATAGCCAATTATTATAACGCAATTTATATATATAAATGTACGAAGCAACGTTGAGCCGTGTACCTACAACCATGATCAAATTCACTTTTGCGCGAGGAAAAAAATGCTCGCTGCCCCGTTATGTTCGAGCTGTGTATACGTCGGTATACGCAAGCACGTGTATATCCTACGTCTCTGGCAGACCTCGAGCAGGCGAGCGAGATGATTTCCCCAAGATGTATTACACCGGCGTCAGCTGCTAGTCTTTCTCTAATATACACACAAGTGCACACATACAAACACATATACATACACACACACTCACGTGACAAACTCGTGAGCGTGCGCGAGATAAATGAGTTTCAGCTTGAAAAATGTCTGTGTGTGTGTGTGTAAGGAGCATCTCCTGGCAAACTTCCTGAAGGCGCGTCTGCCACGACGCCTCGGGTTATTGGTCACAAAAGCGTATCAGACTCTTACCTAGATATTTTTTTCTATCCACTCCCTCTCTCTCACTCTTAGCTCGTTGAAAGAGTAGCAGTGGTACTATTACTGCTTCTGCTGCTGCTTCTGCCGAGCGCGTTATTAAACTTCGTCTCGAGAATGAGGGAAAAAAGCTCAAATATTTATACTTTATGGACGATCTTAGTCGTTAATACCGTTAGTTTTAAATTAAACTCGGAGGGCTGATTCGCCTGATCCCAAGCGATGCGCTGCATTTTTCACATCACCATTTCATTGGACGAACATCGTGTTCCTTCATTCTATCCCTCTCGACTGCTGTATTTACATTATTAATGTAATAAAGCTAAAAAATATCGTGTAAGAGGCGAGGAGATCGAAATTCTCCCTTTTTCTCTCGTACTAGACGGTGCTAAATTCGATAGAGTTATTAAATTCCATTAAGACAAAAAGGAAAGATCTTTTATTCTATCGTCGCTAAAATGGGTATTTTTCCGCGCAATTAAATCACCGATACTCTGTTCACATTGCTCGTAATCGTTGATGTAATAACATCGCACATCGAACGTAGTCAATCGAATTTCTACCCTTTTCTCGGCTAAAATTCCACGGTACACACTCTACCTGCGCCATATCGTATTCCGCGCTAAAAACAAGTGTCAGTATCAATTGAAAACGAGAACAGCAGATGCCCACGTGCGCCGCCGATACGTGTCAATTTTTCCATAAATTTACATCGGGGCGAGCGAATTCCGACATGCGACGTCGAGGTGGTGTGCTGCACGTACGTGTAAAACGCTTTGTAAGTCGAAAATATTGCTACCATCTGTACACATACACACGCAGCAGAGCTCCCAATGCTACTGCTGTACCACTGCTGTGCACCCCAAACGTGTGCAAGCTCGCGCGCTCATATCGACGTGAGAAAAATATCCTACCACGATGTCTGGTCTGCAGGGCTATGTGTAATATATATATATATAATACTACGACTTCGGTAGACAATACTTCTACACGCTTCGAATATAAATAAATAAAAAACGAATGGAAATTGTACGCCGGCGAGCTCTTGCGATGAGGCTCGCATTCGAAAATCTTGACCGTATTACGCCGCAGCACACCGGGCGTCCGTAATGTCGGACTGTCGGAGAGTTTTCTTTCGCATATAGAATGCGCTTTCTTTCCGTTTTTCGAGATTTCGATTGAATGATCGAGCTTCAAATTCAATCGCGAATATAAGATCAAAAGAGACAGGCTCTTCTGACTGTTTTTTTGTCAGTTAGCGAAGGGATATTGATATGCATATGGATGCACTGTCTTTAAGGAACCCTCACTTTAAAAATCTTAAATTTAATATAGATTTTATGTGAAATTAAACATTAAAATTAAATTAAACGACCCTGAATTTTATTTAAGGTCTTTCACATGAAATTTTTGTTAAAAATCAATGTACCGAAGTATACTGCTCAAAAAACGAACGTAAATTCAATCAAAATTAAAACCAACCTTCACCGCTAGATGGCGATTACTTTTATCTATAAATCTGTATGTAGCAAAGTAAAAATAATTGTATAGGTAAAACCACGGTTTGAAAAAAATTTCAATTGAATCTCTCTCTACTCGGTAAGTTTTACAAAGGAAATTTTAGATCCTCTCATATTATATAAATTTTAATATAATTATTTTTGGGTTATTTTGTGACATATTGTCATTTTTATACTTTACGAAAGAAAAGATTATTCAATTAATTACTCGATAAGCATAATTGCGATTGGGCCCCCAAAAAAAACCTGTAATGCACACTGAAGAAGATGACGGTTTTCAATGCATTCAATATACTTTCAATGTACCCTGTGTACACATAGACACACACAGACTCGCCTACACAATGCGCAGGTTGACGCGCCACACGTTCGATCGATGTCATTATCATAATGGATAGTATACGTCGACGCGAGTGGATTATCGCTGAGTGAGAGTGAGTGAACGAGCGAGGGAGGCGTATACCTTACGACGTGTTTCGTACACCCTTAATTGTGATTATACGTATCGTAATAATGCCCACAGGACATGCGGATGCGTGACAGTATTTCTCGCTCATGCTCGTCGTTGCTTATTTCGCGCGTCGGCGGTGGCGTAGAAATAATTTCAACGGCGTGTGAACTTGGCGTTGTAATGCACGATACTGAAAGTGTTTGGATTAGAGCGCAGTAAAACGGCCGCGAATTATAACGTATAATATATACCCGTACGCGCGTAATAACTCTAGTACCAGCTCATTGTTTTTAGCTAAGATTATCGAAATATTCTGAAAATATTATGTACGAAACTTCTTTTTCCGCGGATGTAATAACAGCTCACGGCAATAAAAGAGGGAAAACTTGATTTTTCTGTTGTAGATGGAACATGAGGATCTTTCGGACAGGCAGCAAGAGGAGTCGCGGAAGCAAAAGTCGATGAAGCAGCAGAAGCAGCATCAGCATCAGCAACGATCTCAAAACTAATAGTAGCGTAAGATTTTCTAATCACTAAGGCTCCAAGGCATTGGGATATCAAAATAGGACCTGTAAGGGTGCGAAATAGATATTAGGATTAAGTGCGCAGCAGAAGGATGGCCGCTACAGATGGGCAGATAATCGTGGCAGCAGCCCGCTGGGCCGACGAGGCCACCTACCTCCGTGACTTTGTGGCCAAGCAGAGGCTGCCGGCGGTCATTAAGATCACCAAAGGCCAGTACGGAGGTCTGGGCGTGCCAACGCTGCCCGCTCCCTCGTTACAGTCGACGGCGCTCCTCGTCTCGGCCGGCAGACGACGGAAGATCGTCGCGCAAGCTGTCAAAATTAAGGTAAATTGCGCCGATATTGTGGCGACATTGAAGCTCTGAGAGATTTCGATAGGCATTTATTATAATTTTTTTTAATGACTTCTAATTGTTCGAGTTATCTTGGAATCCAATCGAAATTGTATACAGCAATCGAAATGGTAACTTTTATAAAGCCATTGATTACTAATTAACGACAGCATCGCCACTAAAGCATTGATTGATTAAAACATTGACGCGAAGTTATATGGTATATTTTGTAATGTGTATCTTTGACATGTTGTTTATTGGCATTGATAATTAGAACTAAGAAAATGAATTTCTTGTTTGGGAGGTAAAATAGTAAGCAACAATATTATAAACGTGAAAGAGACGATATTTATTAAAAACTAAAGTCAATCATGAAAAGGAATTCCAGTATGACTAAAAACTAATAAATGATCTTAGTCGATATTTTTAAATTCGACTTTTTCGGCCAATAGATGGCTTAGCCCAATTATATTGTAAACGCGCAATCGAAACTCAAGATATAATGAGTCAATAAATCGGTACGAGCTAACTGTCAACGAAAAATAGAATCATTGAATTAACGCCTAAAGGACCAGGATTTCAGAGGTCATATAAATCATAGAAAACAGGCATAATGGGTATTTTAAATCATTGATCGATCATAGGCTATGTGTTGATTAGGGGGTGCGCCAATGTTATTGGCTTTCCGGTCCTGTAAAGGTCAATAATTAGGTTCAGCTTTTATGTCCCCTCATACTGATCATTTATACCTAAAGGCACTTGCTCAATGTTACTGCCCTATTTAATTGTGTTATACATTTATTCTTAGTTTTTGGAGGAAAAAAGTATTGAATTAATTTTTTCAAAAATATAAGAACTGAAATTCGAAACAACTTGACTTGAACAATGCATCGTTTATGATTTGTCAGGAGGGCCGTCGAGTGGTGGGCGTAGGACCACGACTAGCCATACCAGACTCGTACGTGGGCTACTTCGAGATTCTGAGCGAGGAGGGCCGAGCAGTCCGGGGCATCGAGTCGGTGGCGGAGCTGTCGCGACGCTGCCCCGAAGCCGGTGCCCTGGTGCGCGAGACGGTGCGCGGCATCGCCTGCAAGCTCGACGAGAACGGCGCCGCCATACCCGAGGGCAGCCGCACCCTCGCCGTGGGCGAGACGATAGTCGTCGCGGGCGAGCTCACCCTGCCCGGCCGGGGCCGATTTCTGCGCTGCATCGACTGCCGGGACGACAACGTGCTGCTGCCCCTTGAGCAGCGCGCCCGATTCAGCGTGCTGGCGCGCGAGGACAACATCAGCGGCGTCCACACGGCCCGGGGCCTGCTCTGCAAGAGGCTGCCGCTGACGGTGCGACTCGTGCACGGCCAGCCGCCCCGGGGCCTCAAGAGCTCCAGTCAGTTCCTGCCGGAGCTGCGGCTGCTGTCGAGTTTCGAGGAGGAGCACGTGTTCGCGATACCGCTGCAGAGGGAGGGCGCCGCGGTGGCACTGCCTCTGGCGGCGCCGCTGAAACTCGTCAAGGCCAGGAACGAGGAGGCGCTCAGGGCCATGCCCGAATTCGCCAGACTCGTCGAAAGATCGTCGAGACTCGTGGCCGAGGTCGCCGATAGGTGCGTATACTTCGTTACTTTCAACTCTTCCGTGATCCCCTGTAAAAACTATAGCCCTGTGTGCGTGCGTCCGATGCACCGATGTAGATCTCACGTGCTGGACGGCCGGCTGGGCGAGAGCAAGTCGAGTAGGCAGGGCCGCAGCGCCGGCGGCTTCCTGCGACGCTCGGTGAGCTCGGACAGTGCCAACAGTAATCCAGTGGCGGCGCATCACCGGTCGCATCACCATCATCACCATTACCACCATCAGCACAGTTTGCCTGTGGGCCACGGCTACAGGGACGAGAATCGCGTGCCCCAGTCCTATTCCGAGGAGTACGACGAGATCGACCAGATCTACGACTACGTGCGGGGTTTCGCGCCTCTGCCCAAGAGCGTGAGGTCGCCCTACGAGAGTCCGCTGGGCAACGGATTGGTAAGTATCCAAATTTGACGCCTGACCCCACGTAGTCTCAAACTACTGCGTGTACAAAAAAATACCGAAAATCGTAATGCGTAGGGAAACGGGTTGGCATCCGTGACGGTAACGATGACGCCGTTGGACGATCGCCCGGAACCGCCGCCGATCGAGACGATACCGACGAAAAAGGCCCAGGCGGAAAAGCGCACCCGTCGCTCCGTGAAGGAGCAGCCCCAGCAGCAGCTTCACCATCTGCACGCGAGCAACCACAACAACAGCAACACGACGGGCACCACGGGTACGACGGTCACCTCGTCGTCGATGGCCACGCGGACCGACAAGCCGCCCCTGTCCAAGCTCTACGTAAAAAACGGCGGAACTCAGAGGGGCCGGCCTCTCATGAGGCAAAAGAGCGCCTCGCCGCTCAAGGAGACGCCGCCCGTACTCAAGGGTGGCTCGCCCCTCTTCAACATCAGGTACAAAAGCCTGACGAATTTGCAGCAGGCCATGGAGCTCGACGGTACGCTGGACTCCAGTCACTCGGGTGGGCGTACATCGGGCGATTCCGGTGCTGGTGCTAAACTGCCCGAGAAGAGGTGAGTTGTACAATTTTTTCGTTTCTATTCTTGTTTCTTCTTGTCCTTCAATGTCAATCAACTGAGATGAACCGTGATTTACATCAATGAATCTGTACATTTTAAGCCTGCGATTTATGGAGTTCGGACAGCATAACAGACGCTTGATCAAGAGATTCGTCAGCAAGAGTTTATTTCCTATTTATGTGCTGTCGAAAAAAAGTACGTCACATATGCACTTTTTCTAAATTATAAAAACTGTGTGTTACGTTTTTGTGTGTTTTTACGTTGAAAGCCTAGCATTCCCAAACTCTGGTAAACGTCTTTTTTCAGTTTGTTGAAATAATAAATAACGAAATTTGCATTTCTCTCATACTACTTGGCAGGTTAAAACATCGAATGAAATGTTTCTAGATCGCGGCGACTGAGCAGACCTCGTTCGCTGACGAATCTCGTGTGGGAGCTGCGCAACGGCGGAAGCGGTGGAGGCGTCGGCAACGGCTGCAATCGCTCGGAAACACCACCAACGATGGCGCAGCAAGTGACACCCGTGCCACTGACCAAGTGCGGACCAAGGCTGGCCCTCACCGTCTTAGCACCGAGGCGCGTCGGCACACTCTACCTCTAACCCGTGAGTACCATGTTTTGCAATCCATTTTAAAATCAAAAAATTGATTTGATATCGGAACTTAAATTGATCCGTTGCCTTTTACCGAGGATACTTAATTACGAAATGTACAAGTTTTTTGACACGCAAATATGACAACTAACTCAACAAGTGGACAATCCTTGAATTCAACTGAATCAATAAAATTTGTAGCTGAACGTCATTACATCGACCAGAGAAGAAAAATAACATCATTATATTGATCATTGTGCCATTTTTTTACTTTTTGAATTACTTGGATAAGCTTAAATAGTTCATAAGGCAAACGTACAAGTAAATCGAGAAAACAATTGGCAGACCATACATACGCCTTTGTATTCTTTGCATTTGCAAGTTCTCTTTGGGTTTTTCTTGATAAAAAACTTTTGTTTACGCTACCGGCTCTCCGTGCACAGACCCTTTACTTGGATTCTATAGCCTGCGCACACCACCGCCGAGTTCGCTCGGTCCCCATAAACAATGGGACGAGATTCGTCACGAGGCACGTGTATGCATAGCGAAACTTTTGAAATGAAGCAGGAACGAGCCGCGCGCGAATCAATACGAAACTTTTGCGCTCAGAATTTGTAAACTGTACGCATTTAAATGACAAAGACGATTTACTTTCGACGTCCTTCTGTTTCTTTATGTATCATTTTTAGTACAAAAAAAAGTATCATAAAAAATGTAATTTTTATCCGTGCAGGTAAATTAATGACAATAATTTGCTCTATTTACGTCTTCGGTTTTCCTTTCCGCTGGTCATTATTATTCTCTATGGTCTTGCGCTGTAGTGGAGAGCTATTGTTATTGGAAAAAATATAATTCATGCGCAACGCTTAAGCCCGCGAGCTTTTCTCCTGACTGCCTGTGTCTGTGTGCATGTGTAGATGCATGCATTCTCAAGTACACACGTCGTGGTTGTAAATCAGAAATTCGAGGATAATTTTATGACTTCTCGAAGAGATGAGACAGTCTCGACGAAGACGAAGACTAATTTTACGGGCCACTTGGTGTTTTATGCAGGCAAGCTGCTCGCCGCGCTGAGTCGCCGCCGACACAGGGCGCGACAGAGAAAATTGCTCAGCTCTCTGCACTCTCTCTCCCTCTCTCTTCTCTCACTCAACGTCATTATCTTAAATGGCCGTGCATTTTATTGAATTAAAAAGCACCAATATGAAGTTCTCGCTATGTTATCCTCAGAATAAATACTTGTCGGGAAATTCTCTGCTTGCTCGAAGTAATGTTACGAACCGATACCTTATTTATTTATTGTTTTTACAATTGAACTAGATGCGCTTACGAAGGACATCATTTTCAACTGATACAAATGCGTCCACAGAACAAAAATCAGATTTTCCCAACGAGTCACATTCAGACGCCTCGAGACTCGTCACGTATAATATAAGTCGTTGTCGTCGTCGACGACGAGTATTATACGAGGAAAAAAGCGATTCCCATGGCAGACTCGATGCACAGGTCGTATCCGCACACCGCCGGTACATCGCGCACTCACATACATGTATACGCATTACGCGTGTACTCTTGTATATAAATTAGCCAGTTAAACTTCTCTCTGAGTTGCTGCTGATGCTGCTGCTGTAGCTCGCCGAGTTTAGTTTCCTTTTTATGCGCAAAAGAGAGAGAGAGAGAGAGAGAGAGAAAACGATACTAAACGAGAGACGCTTAAGCAAATAGAGTCTAAGCCGATATAATAAATACAAGCGTTTTTTATTTGCTCGCTAACTCCGAGTCGATTAATCGGGTCGCATTATAATGCTATTCTTTCTGTCTCTTCTCTATTCGAAGCAATTTCTCTATCTCTTTTTCTCTCGCGTGGAGGGCTCTCCTCTTTGTGCCGGGCGCGTTCATCGAGAAAATATACATCGAAAAATTTCACATAAACATCGCGCGCACGCGAGAACTTGTGCAATCGCTCTCGCGGTGCGGAATAATCGATATATATACAAGATGCCTATAAGTAAGAAAGAAAAAATAAAAAATACACTCGAGCAAGCGTCTGTGTGCAAGCTTATGTGTATAAATGCAGCACGTATAATGGTGATACATCTCGACAATCCGAATAAACAACGAGCCAAAGACGACTGTATATATGGCGGAGGGATTAATTTCATCACGCGACACGCCACGATCGCGCAGTAGAGGCGAAGTATTATATCGACGCGAGCGGAGCACAAAGTTTGTATATGCTGTATACGTGCGCGTATATAATTTACTTTTTTGTTGTTGCTCGTTGCTCTTGTTGCATATACATACGTCGGCAGTTTGTCTGTCTGTCTGTGTGTGTGTGTACACATACTTGATACTGTCTTTATGTCGATAGACTTTGTTTTACAAGATCACTCGGATTAAAAGTATAAAATGTACATACGTAATAGGTGCCAGCATAAGATCAAACTCATTCGCGTGGTCATATAGTAAAACAACGTTTACGCACACAGATATACCTATCTCAGCCAATTCTTAAAGCTCTCGCGAGTCTTATTCACTGTATATCCTGCACTAGATTTGTTAAATATGTCTTTTAGCGCGTGGGAAAGACTCTCCTTTGTAGATGTGTGCCAAGTGCGCCTGAATTTCGCGTATATTTTACAAGCCGCGGGCAAGGTCACAGGCGTGCAGTCGGGCGAAGACGCGCGCGCACGAGAAAGCGCAAGGAAAAAAGTGCGAGCGAGAGAAAAGAAGGCCCTAAATATGTATACGTTTTCGTCGAGTTCGCATGCACTTATATACACACAGACACAGTATATAATCGTTGTTTCATCGCAGATAGCGAGCGCGCGGAAAAAGTTACGAAACAAAAAAGTCGTCGACAAAGTCGAGTGCATAGATTTAAATCAGTGCAATTTTTTCTTCACATTTGCTAACGCGTCGTAATTTGTATCGCTGCACAGCAAGCCGATTGCTGTTGCTCCTTTCTTTTTGTTAGCGCGTCCAAAAATACATCTTCGTATCTCATGTTCGCACAAATTTTTCTCCGTGAGCTCCGAGAAGTGTAGAAAGCATCATCTCTCTCTTTCGAGCAGTCTGAGATTTTTTTTGAGCGCGCGCACGAGAGGCCGTAAATTTCGCGCAAAATTTTCCTAGCCCATTTCCACCGCGTCCTCTCTCGCTACAAGCCTGAACTTTCGACGAAAGGTTGAAAAATAATAATAATTTTTGAGGTCACGCGACATGATTCATAGCCGCGGCCGTCGTCTCGTATACACGGCAATTTGCATACAAGAGCCAAAAAGATCATCGTCTATATAATATTCCATCGCATCGTCTATCGGTTCGCGAACTTATTTATTAACTTTTGCCTTATAGAGGAGGCATTGCATTGCAGCAGGCGCGCGATAACGACGCTCAGAGAGAGAGAGAGAGAGAGAGAGAGAGAGAGAGAGAGAGAGAGAAGAGAAAAGACACACCGAGACCCGGTACGATTATACGCTTCATTTATTTTGAGATTCGAACTGAAAGTTTCGCGATGTACACGCATAAGCATCGATAAATCATGCCTTCGAGGAGTGAGAGAGAGAGAGAGAGAGAGAGAAGGGCGAAAGAGCATCAGGCAATGATTGAAAAATTAGTCTTTTTCACTCTTGACAATTGTGCAACAAGCTGAATATTATCTTCAGCCGATATCTCGCTGCGCGTAATAGTTTTTGCGCGCTTTCACATCTCTCGCGCGCGAGGAACTTGGAAACATTAATCAGACGGTATATAGGTATACCACGTAGTCTGCCACGTACGTACGAGGAAATCACCTACAATCATTCAGATTAACATCTTTTCAACACCCATCCTAAAATGCATCCGCTTTTGTGTGTGTGCGAGTGGCCGGGATCGAACGCGTAACAAATGCTCGCACTCACACACAGACACTGCTCGGGCATCCATTAAGACCAAATTAAAAAAGAAGAAAAACGACTACGACGACGATCATGGCAGCTTTCGCTTCGCGATCGAACTTATATGTGTATGCGATGCCACACATCCTGCGCCGATGCTAATGCATTCGGGAATTGATCGAGGCGAAACTGGAGACTAATAATGGCCATTGTTTGGCCCCGCGCGCGCGAGGAATCCTACGCACTTTCCACTCTATACGACACTGTAACACACTCGCGAACGCGAACATCTCAAAAGTGACTCACTTGAGCTGAATATAATATAGCGTATATAGCGCGTGTATGTATACACGGATGGCATTTCTTTCGGCAGCTATTTTAGCTGTCGTCGATTTTTCAATTTCACGCGCGAAATTTGCGCTCGAAAAACATTGCCTTCTTTTATATTGCCGCGCCTGTTCTCCGCCCGCTCCGTGTAACGCGTGTAGTACTCCGGTAAAAAATGCGCGCGCGTTCCCTTGCCGCGATGAAAAATGCAACTCGAGCTGTGTATAGCAGCAGCCCGTCTTTACGGGACCCGGTTTTCTTTGAAGCATACACACACACACTTGCACACGCAGTGCAAAGATATGTATACCGCGAGCGAGCGAGCAAGCGCGTTCGACCTCCTATTCGAGAAGGATATTTTTTTCAATCTTCATAAAGCACATGCGGGCTACATTAAAATGCATAGGTGGCATGAAAGTGTCGCGAGTCGAGCGAGCGAGCGAGCTGCAGGCTGCTTTATATACGTTAACATGTAGGAAGACAGACAAGTTGTGTGTGCGCTCACGGCGTTTTATATACCATGCATTACACGCAGTCGAGTCGACCTTTTCAGCCGAGTTGGAGCTTCGCGCGGCGCCCACAGAGTGCACGCATACACTTACTCACGTACACTTACATGCTTTGCGGAAGAGCGATAGAGACTTTTTTCCTTGCCAGGCGCAAAGTCACGTAGGTGTCGAATTTACTCGTCTTGACAGTACACCTAGATATCTGCCTGCGCATCCAAAAATTTCAATCCCTCACTCTCTCCCCCGAGACACTCGACGTTACTACGGTTATTTTGCCAGAAGCGAGTGATCGAAT